GTAGACATATGGGTTCAAGGCAAGTGGAATATCTCAAAAACAGCCTGGATATCACTGAGAGCATCAGTTTCTAACAAAAATGACTAATATGAGAAATGCTTATATAAATTTGGGGTTGGGGATCATGTCTGTTTGCTAAGCCTAGCTATTAAGTTATGTATAATTACCGTTGACCTGCCAGATGACCAGAAATTTAAGTTGGCATAGACAACTGCTGGTGTCATTTGACAAAGGCTTGTATTCATCACACCTTGGTGTTAAAGATTAGTCCTAAGATCAGAGGAAACCCACAGGGTGAATGAGGTGTGTTCTCATCTGTCCCCACATTGACAGATTATAACTTTCATCCCTTGTAACCAAAAAGTTAGTTTCTTCTCCGAAGATTGCTGAGTAAATAGTGTTACTCCAAGAAAGCCAATTGTAATTTGGCAGAAAACTTAGAAGCAGCTTTGAAGGAAAGACAAAGCTTCTAAAAGGTCAGTAAGTTATTTGCTCAATTTGTGCAGAATATTACAGCATCATAATTGTAATTATTTGTAGTATGTATACTTAATTACTGGGATCATTTTGTATATACAATTACCTTTGTAGTGATTCATTTACATGCATATTTGAGAAATGGACTTGAATATTACTTGGAGAATTATGGAGATTGTTAGCTTGTGGTCAGAATTAATTTTGTAAAATGCTATTAGTTTACTTTGTAGAAAACCAGTACATTTATTAATGTGTTATATTTATGCATGCTTGAATTGTGAGTTTGAAAAAAAATGATTGAAGTATGTAAGATTAGTTACTATGGACATATGCATATATCATAGCATGGATATTTGAATATTTGTGTACTTTGTATTAGTGTAAGGTAAAGAAATGAATCTGATTATTGTGATATTGTATAGTATAATAGGATTTAGGAATATGTACTGATGTGACACAACTTACGGATGTATGTATAAGAAGTAATAGATACCGTGTTGTATTATGATGTTTGATTTACCATACGAGAATGTATGGGTATCTCGATGTGAATGAATGTGTGACTGAAGAACTCAATAGTCATTATCTGATGATAGGTGTAGTGTGAGATGAGATGACTAAGGAAAAATATTGTACTGTCCTTGTGTTATCACATGAAGCATTTTAGGGGATATAACTTCCAGTTCAGTTGAGTCCCGATTCTCCAAAAGGAGAGACAGAGCTGAGACTAGCAGAACAGTTGAAGTCAACAGAAGTTTAGTTGGTAGAAAGAAGATGGATATAAGGTGGATGAGGAGGAAAATGAGTCTGGAGGAGAAAGTCGAGGAGGAGGAGGAGTGTAGAATAGTCGAGGAGAAGGAGAAAGAGTATAAAGAAGTTGAGGAGGAGGAAAAGTAATTTGTAAAATGTAAGAGAGGAAGAAGAGAAGGAATTGGGAGAAATAGGAGAGAAAAATACCTCAGATGAGTAGAATACAAAGACAGATGGAAATCTATCTCACACTAATCGAGTGATGCAATAGGCTATAAAAGGGTTAAGCAGAAGGGGCATAATTGAAAATCTGAGTCGTTTGATTATTAAATTGTTATTAAATTATTATTCATTGAATTTCACCCTTTTTTGTATATTTAACCTTTTGACCATTGGCATTGTTGACTGGAGGCTTGGAGCAGTACATCTATCTTTCACTAATTTAACTTTCAACCATAATCGAACCTGAGTGGGTGATTTCTACAGTAGTTTAATTATAATATTGGGAGTACCCCAACCCAACCATAACACACAACCATGTCTAAACAGGGTACATAGATTTCTTCTGCTAAAAAATGCCATTGTCTTTTCTGGTCAAGGGAATGCAATTCTGATCCTTGATTTAATAAATGGTCCTTTTTGACATCACCTGCATATTTAATTTTTATAAATTTTTATATCAGGCAGGTTGATGCAGCATTAAATTTACATATAAAAACTTTATTTGCATCCATAGCAACTTAGATTTTAGTAATAAAGCAACATCAAACATATTAGTGATTTGTTTACTTCATGGATAGAATGTGGGCATGCCACATTATTTTGGAAAAATACACTGCCCATAAAAAGATAAAAGATCCAGACATTGAGTTGTAGTCAATATTTTCCAACAAATTTTAGTAGAAAATATGATACAAATTGAGAAGTAAACAGCTCTGAAATTTTGCCAAATAAAAATATCATTTCCATGATTTAATTGCTGAACATTCAAATTCTGCTTGATTATCAAGTAGCAATACTTTTTCTGCCAGGGCAAATTTAAATCAGAACTGTAACCTGTTTTGTTCCTTAGGCTTGGGGTTCCAGGAGACAACTAAAAAAGTTCCCAAAATAGTTTGTTTTTAATGATCTGATTCATGTACTGTTTGTGGCAACTGTTATGTATATCTATATTGTGTGTGTTAATTTTCATGATTATAGATTGAGAGGGTAAATTTGCTAAATAACATATTAAATAAATATTTCTCTATAGCTTTGGATTTGTATTATGGGATGAGGTCATTTTGTTCTACTAAACACATTATAATTTCAGGATATCAGTAAACAGCATTTTTGACTTTGGATATAGAAATAATCTTGAGGATGAATTTGATAGGGTTCCTCCTGAGAAAGCCAGGTAACCTAATTGCTTATTGGCTAGCAGCTAAAGTACTTGAAATTAGTTATTCCTGATATAACCATCAGTCTTAAAGGAGTCAAATAGTTGTAAGGATTTATTAATATTTATCATTTATTTATTGGAATTACAAAGTGCTGAGACATTTAGATTAGGAGCTGTATTGGAATGAATGTGAATTCATTTAAAGAATTTTTGGATGATACTGTGACACATCAAGACTATTGGTATATCAGCATAGGAGACTGAACTTCATTTGGATTATCAATGGAACTCATGTGAAATATTCAATGTATTTGGACTTGTGATAGAACTTTTAAGACTTGTCAGGATTTTATTCACCACTTTTGGACTTGTGATGGAACTCATAGGAATAGTCAGGATGTTTGTTCATCATACTGTAAATTATTTTTAAAATTTTACTTTTTCAGGAAAATAAATTATTTGTTCAATTTTGCAAATTGTATTAGTTTTGAGTTTTTTTTATGTTGCTAAGTTTAAGACCATAAAACCATAGAGTCATAACACAGTCTTCAATAGTTCAGAGTACATTTCTATATTAACAAAATCCCTTCATGCTTTTATGTAAACCTATAATATAATATCCCTTTGTATCCCAAATGACTACCATCTATGTTAGCATTATACATCTTTATTAACAATATCCATGCATGCCCTTTTGTAAACCTGTAATATTATATCCCTTTGGATCCCAAAGGAGCTCCAGTTAGATTATCATAAAGCTGCAGTACATATGGCCTAATACTACAATTATCTGTGTACAATCTGCCATCTCCACAATCTCATGTATTACAAATACATGATTAATAAAATCATAAATTTTGAGCAGTGATATGAATGTGAAAATTACTGCTGATTTGGCATCATTTATGATTGTTCCTGGCATATGATTAAGAAAAGGGATTTCCTGAGCTTGATAATAGAACCTGGTTAATGATAAATCTTTTTGACATGCTAGGACATGCAATACTTACCTGAATTCCAGGTGCAAAACAGGTGTGTGTAATTATTCCTTCAGGATGCAGGATTTATCTGGATTCTATGGGCTTATCAGTATCTGAAGTAAAGAAGTGTATTCTTATAGCATAGTGATAGAACCAATAGTTGTAGAGAAATTAACAGAATGATGGTCAGATCTTAATGAAGTCAAATGCGTCATAAGCAGCAACTAATTTGAATCATGGAAAGTGAGAAAAGTGGTCTTTAAAGACAGACAACTGTGGATAGGTTAGTAAAGGCTTATTACCATAATCCAGTCCAGCCTTTCTCTACAAGCCATGGAGGGGAAGACTCTTTAAGGAAAGTAGCTGCATGAGTCATGAGATTTATACTAATTTTTCAACATCTGAGGCTAAAAATAAACTGACCACCCCACCCATCTTTCAGTTCTAGAATAGATGCTGTGTTGTTTAAAGGAAGTATAATATATAGATACAATAAAAAGGAACAGTCTGTACCCAGCTGGATATGGAAAAACGTTTATTTAGTGGAAGTTACAATTACTGAATTCTGCACATTAGACGGTTCATGAAATCGTTAAAATGCTTGCTGCTCAAAGTAGATCATCATCAATTAACTTTATCATGTAATCATAATTTTGTCAACTAGGCAAGTGGTTTTGGAACACCCACCCACCTACCCCTGATGACCTAATAACCTGCCTGACAAATCCCAGCTTTGGTATGTGACACATGCATTAGTCATAATACACATATAAATATCACCATTCATGAATGTATCTCAAATGATTTATAAGTGACAAATGGCAAAGAAAAATGAGACTGAGTAATCAAATTTGTTTTAAATGGGAAAATAATAAAAAGTACTTATCTAAGAAGGCCTTTTTTGCCTGACATGCTGTCCTGTAATAATAACTATACAATACAAGTTTTATACATTATTAATTCCATAGACTATACAAATGAACACAATTTGTAAACAAATGTGGATATATTCAGGTGTATTTAACTAAGCCTACTTTTAGCTTGACACCTTACCTAATTTTAATACATATGAAAATCAAGTTTCATCAAGATATCTCATTTGGTTCAGGAGTTATTAACCATACAGAAATGTGTTCCATTAGAAGAAACAGGGGAGATAACTAAAATAAAGTATTTACCTAACAAAGCACACACTGACAAAGTCAAAGGCATAATCAATGTCATGAAATTATCAAAAATGTTTCTCGAAATATGAACCTGACAATGCAAGACACAAAAAAGAAAAGTACTTATCTGACAAAGCCCATTTTTGACGAGACACAATGTAGTAAAAAATCAACATATTTCAAGCCTAATATAATGGAACTATATTTTGACATGGCATAATCTAGTAAAAAATCAATATACTTCAAGACCAAACTGGTGGCCTAGTGGTTAGTGCATCCATCTTGGATGTGGGAGGTTGCGGGTTCAAACCCCAGCAGAGTCATACCAAAGACTTTTAAAAATGGTACTAACAACTGCCTCACTAGGCACTCAGTATAAAGAGGTTAGTGTTAGGACTGGTCAGCCTGGTGTCAGGATAGTACGACTGGGTGGACATCATTCTGCATAGGAGGTCCAGTTCTCTTCATGATGTCAGGGTATTTTCCACCTAGAAAAGTATCAGCATTGCAATAGCAATGATTTGGTATTACCAATATTAAAAATATACATTTAACACAGAATAGAGCATAACTCGGGGAAACAATGCATCAGTTTGGGAACATAACAACAAATGCATGTTGACCTCATCTAACACAGTTCAAAAGAACAGTCACACACACAAGAGTTTCTGGGTGATGTACATGAAATGATACAATATTTCACAGATCTACCATGAAATGGTACATTTTACAGATCTACCATGAAATGATAAACCATTTCACAGATTGACCATGAAATGAAACAATTTACAGATCAACCATAAAATGATACATTTCACAGATTGACCATGAAATGATACACCATTTCACAGACTGACCATGAAATGATACACCATTTCACTGATCTTCCATGAAATAATAAACCATTTCACAGATTGACCATGAAATGGTACATTTTACAGATCTACCATGAAATGATACAAGATTTCACAGATCTACCATGAAATGGTCCATTTTACAGATCTACCATGAAATAATACAACATATCACAAATCTACCATGAAATGATACACCATTTCACAGCTTGACCATGAAATGGTAAATTTTACAGATCTACCATGGAATGATATACTTCATAGATTTACCATGAAATGATACAACATTTCAAAGATCTACAATAAAATGATACAGCAGCAGATCTGAGTCTACATACTATGCAGTTGGATGCATGTAATAAACCAGTGATTATTGGTATTACCAAGTTTTTTTCAGAAAAATGTAGACAAATTTTCAATTCTTAGGAGTCCATTTGTCCAATGCCTCCAGTCTCTGGTCTTTGCAACACTCAGGTTGTTAAATGGGTCTACATTTGAGATTTTTCTGTATATTGGATGCCTCAGGTTTTAAAGAAAAAAATGGCCCTGAACCACCATTTATGAAATCCAAAAGAGAGATCTCAGTAATTTATGAAATCCAAAAGAGAGATCTCAGTAATTTATGAAATCCAAAAGAGAGATCTTATTAATTTATGAAATCCAAAAGAGAAATCTCAGTAATTTATGAAATCCAAAAGAGAGATCTCAGTAATTTATGAAATCCAAAAGAGAGATCTCAGTAATTTATGAAATCCAAAAGAGAGATCTCAATAGGGCATATTCTCCCTAAGAAAGAAAATCTGATGCCCTGACTACCATTTCTTTCAGGGACCTGTTTTTTTTTTTTACAATTTGGAATCCCAGGGACTCATTGTTTTAAAAATGGCTGGCCAAGTTTTCTGTAAGTGGCCCATAACTGTATCTTGAGGACCTTCATTCAAAATGTAAAAAGTCACAAGGATCCCTGAATTATTGATCTAAGTACAACTCAACAGCAGGATCTAAGTACAACTTGACAACAGCAGTAAAGAATTCCTTAGGTTAATTTTGAAATATGTGAGAGGCATCAGAACAATTTTCACCAGAAATTCAAGTATCCACACCAGTCTCAGATACTACAGCGCTGGAGCAATAACAAATATAAGACCATATCAAAGGGATGTTAAAATTTATGTAGGGTCTCAAATTTATGGTTCTTCAGGATGACACCCAGGAACCATATATTTACAAGAGTAAAATTTCACATCGGAGAAGCTATCACAAAACACTAGCAAACATAAATACAAAAATAAAAGATTAAATCTGAAGAATTTATCATTTTATTTGCCAGAAAATCTGAACCAGTAGTATATATTCCTTCTGGCGTAACCCTTTCTCAGCTGTATTCTTTATCAAAATATGTAAATCCACAAAAACTTAACTTGAAAAGCTTAAATTTTAAAATCATAAGGAAGGCATTTTAGATGCATTTCAAAGCAGATACATGAAAGAAGAGATTGTCCTGAATTTTTTGCATAACTTTTTCACACTCATTAAACTGAAATTTTTGTATTAGAAGGTTGGGCATGAGATCATGTTTCCGTTTTCACTCTCAGACCTGGTAAACCATCTGAATCATCCTTACCCTTTCCGTAATAGTTGACTTGAAGGTTATCACGCAAAGTAGGGCCTTAAGATAATAAATGCAATACTATGTCTAACTTTCAAGTCTCTTAATGTTTTTCTTAACACACACAACTGATGTAAAGCTAGATGTACATCCACAACTTAAATCAGCTAATCTAGGTCTACTCTGTCCAATGGGTCCAACAAAACAACCAAGAAGACAAACACTTACATAAAGTTTATGAAACTCAAAGATGGTCTCACATTTGCAGCAATAAGATACACACATCAATATATGATATGAAATTCATAATGTTTGCTCAGTAAATATATCTTCTTTACTGCTGCAGCTAGCACTGTGGTAGTATTGATCGGATTGGTCAATATATGAGCTTGAGTATGCAACGGGAAATTTGACTACCAAATCATTGTTTGTGGATGTTATTGTCACCATGGATGGGAATAACATCTAGCATATTGTAGATCAGCTTGTGACAGTAATGCACATATATCAATCAGTGTATACACATTGAAAACATTGTTTTCATCAATGATGCCAATTGTTTTTATTGATAATGACATGTAACTGCAATAAACCCATTTATTTTACACAGATTTATGCATTGAAATTTGGTTTGTTTTGGTTTGGTGTTTTACAAAATAGCAACATAAACAAGTTATTTAGCACAAAGGTAATTGGAATAAAGTGGCTTGTACTTGAACACACCATGGCAACCAACCCATTCTGATCCAATGGTAGGAAATGAACCCATGCCCAATAAGTTGTCCAGCACACTAAACACTGAGCTTCCATGGCTCCTATATGTAATGAAAACTATGAGACAACAGAAAAATATTCACAGTTTGTTTTGTTATGTGTCTATATCCATATAGTGCCCTTAACAAGCAATAACCTGGCATCAAAAGTCAAGAAGAGGTATAAAAATCAATAAGAAACAGAAGTCACTTCTAAGATTTGTGGATATTTTTTAAAGAACATTTAACATTTGATACAAGTGGACATGATTCTTATTAAGGTTTGATTCAAGCTTCTGAGAAATTGCCTCTATGAAACAGTCATTTTATTTTATGTTTTGTAGTTAGCCTCCTGTCTCGTGAAACAGTGTGGCAGCCATGGAAGCTCTACTACAAGAGCAACAGACTCATAACCCAAGGGTTGCAAGTTCGATACCTGCACAAGCCGGCCATGGACAGCTGCCTCTGTGTCCTTGGAAGAGATTCATAGCTCCCATTTCCTCAGCATGATGTAACTGATTGTGTTCTCAAAATGAAACAAGCAATCAATTCATACAATGATAACTTTTTTTCCTCTTGAGAAGAGGCATAAATATTTAAGTGTACAAATTTTCAATTTCAAAGAGAGAGTCACATTGACTAAATCAGGAGAATGTTGGACATGTAATGTAAGGGTCACAGGTTCAATATCAACCCAAGGCAGCCTTGGATTGCTGTCTTGATGAGTCCTTAGAAAAGGCACTTAGCCCTCTTACCACAATAAATGGAATAAATGTTAAGAGTACTATTAAAAAACAACCAACCAACCAGACATCCATTTCAAAGATGATTTTCTAAAAACATCTCAGTTTGATTTTAGTATAAATGTTGACAAAAAAATCAAGCTATGCATAATCCACTGTGCTTTGGACAGTACTATATGAGTAGATAGAATGTTTTGCACAGTAAAGGCAAAATAAAATCTTAGAATAGCTATGTCTTCTTTTCTTGCCCTGTTCTGAAGTCATCACTTCTATTTCATGTTTAGCACTAAACCTTTTACAAAAGCTTGCATTCCATTGGACATGAATACTAGACTTAAGACTTTAGTTACAAAATCTCAGCTTTAAGACTGGATTGCAGCTAGTCATAATTGCCCAAAAGAATAAAATATTGTAATGGCCCAACAGAACCAAATATCATAATGGTACAACAGAACCAAATATCATAATAGCCCAACAGAACCAAATATCAATATGGTACAACAGAACCAAATATCATAATGGTACAATAGAACCAAATATCATAATTGCCCAATAGAACCAAATATCATAATGGTAAAACAGAGCTAAATATCATATTGGTCCAACACAGCTAAATATCATGATGGCCCAACAAACCCAATATATTGGCCCAACACAGCTAAATATAATGGCCCAACAAAGGTAAATATGAGCACTCCATGAAAACAATTAGAAGGCCATGAGAGGATGGTGGCAGACTGGTGGTCAAGCACACCTGTTTGTGGCACTAAAGTTGTCCGATTCAAACCCCAGTATCAGCTAGAACCATGCTCTTTTTTATATCTCTGCTAGAATTGATGATGGATTATGCTAAAAATCATTGTCCACCATTAAATAGCAATCAATCTTCATGTACCTAGTAAAGCATCTTTATGATGGTAAAAGTCTCTAAAAGCCACATCTGCCTTATATTGATGATATTTAACATATTACAGTTGGCATACATGGTCAGTGGTTGTAGGGATGAACAGAGGAGCTCAAAAAGAGTAAATTTTATAGATGTTCATTCAAGTTTGCATAAGGGATCATGACCTGAAGTTCAATTCTCTTAATTGCTGCTCACAGCAATCTAGCTTCATTAACTGATTGTCCAAGTACTGAAATATGGAGTCAGATGGTGAAAAGAAACCAAAGGCCAATGTGGAGCTAATGAATTTTACCTTACATGTATTGGTCTAAATGACATGTGCAGGAACAAGGCAGGCATTTTGAGGTAAAAGACACCCATGTCAAGATAATTTCCAACCATTTGATATAAATTTGTGGTATCTGACACAATTAACTGTGTCTACCTTGATAAACTTCAAATGGACCAGATAATGCAAC